GTGGAGAGCTGATGTTAAGCATTGAGAAGAATTGCTTATAAAACTAGATTTCATTACCTTTCCACTCTCTCAGCTCCCTCTCTGTTTTCATTCTGAATTGGCACTAATATTGTAACTCTTCTTTTAGTTCTTTGATTTCTTTTAACTCCTCAATCTCTTCATGACTGAAGATCTCTTACATGGCTGAGGAGACAGAGGACTTTATACTTGATTTCTCCAGCACTCCCACAGGTCTTAGTTCCTGAAATACAATAGCAGTTATTATGTATTCTAAACTATAAAGATAATAGTTAATAAATAAATAAAGTAGATTACTGCTCACCATTATTTGAGCGCTTGTTTCACCACAGCCATCATCTTCTGTTGAATTATATTGTTGGTCTTCTTTGTTTAGTTGTTACCAGTGCATATTCCTGAAAATAGCAATCACAGACTAAAAAAAATGTCAATTTCCACACATTAATGTCACACTACTGAACATAAATGCAGGTGTACAGTGCTGTGAAAAAAATCCTGATTTATTCTATTTTTGTGTATATCTAGTATATTGTCAGATATATTTTTAATAACTTTACAGTGATACAAAGAAAAATAATGATGCAAACATAATTCACTTCTGCTGTGAAGCAGCTCTAAACAGTAAAAAGTGTCATTGTTCAGTTGAAATCAGTGTTGACTCATCTAGCAAAACAGTGTTGACTCATCTAGCTCAGTTCAGTCCTCATCCAATAGTGTCAGTGGAGTCAGATCAATAATATTGCTGAATATTATGTGTCCCCAAATAAGTAAGCCAAAAGTCGACAGTGGTAAGGAACCCAATCACCAGCAGGTGACAGAATGGAGAGAAAAAACCTTGGGAGAAAGTATGTTTAGTTTAGGAATCAGTTCCCCTCTGGCCAACAAATGAACATGGTGTGATTATGATTCAGGCTGCATCACACTTTAGTGTGAAATATACAGGACTGTAGGCCTACAAGTAGCTGGAGTTATTAATCTCATTTAAATACGATCTAAAATCAGGTTTACATTTGTGGCTAAATAGAATGTGAGTGACCTTTAATGCATTTCCAGAAATAAAGACTCACCAACATCTGTTGAGTGCCTTCTCACTTTCTCTCTACTCTCTTTACTATAATGCTTCCTCTGTTGCAAAGAGGGGTACACTGTACGCTGAACACTTTTCAATGATTTTTCCCCTTATGTCAATTAGGGGTTGACGCTCTCCTAGAAAACAAACAAACAACTACGCAGTATATTCAGTGCAAGTTTATTCATTCCATTATTATAAATGATGTACTGATGCTATTGGAATGAGAACTGAACTGAGCTGGACAATGACATGACTAATTTCTACAGATCTGCTTATAACAAATTGCTGAGCCATAGCATAATAATAATAATGCATCTATACACAGGGTTGTCACTAGTTGGATTTAGATGTTTTATTAGAATAGATTTTATAATATAATTATAACTTGTT